AAAAGTGAAAATAAGGTCCATAGTTTTTCATAATTGCAATTAAGACCGGGAAACCCCCATTATAGAAGAGAATCTCCAGAATTGCGCCCAACCTTTTATAATATATAGATAATATAGCAAATGACTGTGTCTAATGGATTCCTGATGTAACCGTACCGATGATAGAAAACTCATCTGATATGATGAAGATTAGTTTGACAGAAATTTATTTTAAGGTTACGAAAACAAAGTGAGGCTGAAAATATACTAACTACAACTGATAGGTAAATAAATTCCTCATCTTGTCCTGTGAGATTGATACAGATGTTACATAATTTATTCATATTTAATTACAACTATTATTTCTAAAGTGAAAGCTAGTCAATCTACAGGCAAACTATGCCAGGACAACTGAATGTATATGCCTGTTACAAAATGGCATACAAATTCAATTTAAAAAGTGAAGTATTTAAAACATTTCATCACCACAGTACACATTATAAAGTTTACTTGAATAGTTTTAAATTATTCCTAGGGAGAGAAATGTTCAGCCATTTCAGCAATCATTGGCTCCTGAAAGTTAACTAACATTGAACACACTTGAAAATTTTTGTACTGATGTGTCTAAACTGCTGAGGTATGTGGGAAAGAATTTCAAAGTTTTTGATTCTCTCATTGACTCTCTCTACATGAATTCGCGACCTAGCAATCTTCCGGCACACTTGGACCTCCGCAGGTGTATACTGTCCTTTGTCCTTTATAAAGGTGGAATGTTCAGGAGGACACTTTGGGGTAGTAAAGGGTAAATAGTAAAGCCCTTATCTGCAAGTATCATATCCCCTGGAGATAACTGAGCAAGCATGTTGCTGTGCTCTACAATGGCAACATCAGATGTGCTGCCAGGGTACAATTTACTTACATATACTACAGCTCCATTTGGAGCAACACCTGTAACAGACTTTACAGTGTGTCGGTTTTTGTATGAGCTGTAAGTCTGGGACTGGGCTTTCATATCAAGGCCAGGGACATCTTGTGTCACTTCCGTGGCATCAATAACTAGACGACAGCTACTGAAATCCCCCAAACTAGCAGGCATAGATGCTTTACATTTAAGTACTGAAGGGATATTATTTTCCATCATACCCTGAAAAAAAAACCTCATGTAAAGTAAAGATATGTGTGGTCAGGATATTGTGTATTGTTGATTTACTCGTGCAAAAGCGCTCAGCAAGGTCAAGGAGAGGGGTATTCATCTTCAGTTTCATCAGGCACATAAGGAGCTGGTCTGATCTTGAGATGGAAATCGGGGTCCATCCATCCACATAGTTTAGAGGAAATCTTTTCAATGTTGCATCAATGATGAGAAATTTTCTCTGCCTTCAGTGATGTGTACATCAGCATCTACAGATAATGCATTTCTATGTAAAATCTTGTAAAACAGTTTCAGGTTGTTACTTAATAGATCTTTCATTTTACACAAAGGTGCAGCTCCCTTTAAATGTATCAGGTTTTATTAGAATAAACCAGTATCTTATTTCATTAAATCTTGTCAGAAAAGATTATAATATTTTATTTGATCAATTGTAAATCGGTGTCTCTTTGCCTTCAGTATTCATTAAAATAAATCAGTGTCTTATTTCATTTAACCATGTGGGATCAGATTGAAATAAGATATGTTTTGTATACCTTGCTTTCGTTATTAATGATTTGATCAAGTGTAAATGGGTGTTTCTTCGTCTTCAGATCTGTTATTTCTCTCTCAAGATCAGTAACATGTACTTGCAGTTCCTGAATTAAACCATTGATTATGTTACAGGTACCATCCTGTATAATACATTATTCAAGACATTAAAAAAATGCAAATTGAATTTTTATTATATTACATTACTTTCATAGTGAAAATCTTTTTTGATAAACAAATCTTATTTTAGATTTTTATGTGGAAAGTTATAATGTTCTAATTAAAAGTCATTTATTTTCAATAAATAGAATGATATTTTTCCTTCGATATTTTTCACAATCTTGTATCTGCATGGCATAAAGTTTAGGAAGCTACCCTTCTGTTTTTCCAATTCTGGTATTACCACAAATAACGGGAAATAAGATATTCCATTTTGAAATTCACTTCGTGTTTATTAAGACTTACATATCACACATCGAAACATTCAAATAAATAATCTCGTTTAACATGACTACTTAAAGAATAATCCGCCTATTATTCTAATTTAACCGATACCGGGGTCGAACGCAAGACTCATGCTGCATATGATGGAAAGTATATCTTTCTGTGTTTACCTGTTTTATAACAATTGATTTTTCACCTACAATTCTATGTTGCAGATAAATTTCCGTCCATAAATTGCTTTTTGACAATTTTAAAGAAAATAGTAATCTCGAAGTCTTCACCTAAATATTAACAGTAAAAAAGTATGGGGACAAAACGGGGTCTACATTTACAGGTAACCTGAGTGAACGAACGAACTGTTCAATGAAATAACAACAGACCACGCCCTAAAGGTTTTTATGTCACCTGAGACAGTCTCATGATGGCCTATTGCGATCACCTTCCTCCGGCGCCGTGCGTCGTGCGTCCGTTAACAATTTAATATTTTCGACTTCTTCTCATGGTAGCAGAAATCTTCTCAAGCCAAAGATGAAGAAAAATGATGAATTATCTAGTCCCCACTCCCAAGGGACCTGAGGGGCGGGGCAATAAATGTTGACGGGGACCGTAATAACGGATGTTAAGCACGTAATATAATAATGTTGACGGGGTCCGTAATAAAGGACGTTAAGCCCGTTAGATAATGAATGTTGACGGGGCCCGTAATAACGGACGTTCAGCACGTTAATTAATAAACATTGACATGATTCGTCTAGGATATGAGCACCGTATGCGCAATTCAATGCCGTAGTCGTCGAGACAAAACATGCATATCTGGTAAACATTCTACTAGTTTTAGCCGCGTGATTCTTCGAGATTCTTTACATGCATGTTGATGTAAGTCATGTTCCGGTTTCCTTTGCAGAATACAGTTCTCCTATAGAAAGGCGGCTGTGCCGCTTTCTCACGTCCCGTATCTTCAAACCAAATTATTTTCCTACAATGTTATTTTAATTTTGTTCTTTGGATAGATACCTCAAGATGGATGTCAGCTGTGATGATCTATAGGTAACAAATCCATTCGGACGCCGGACAGACAAAAATAATATCCCGCTCCAAAGTCATACGGACAGATGTTAGTCAGGATACTTGGTTTAAAGGCGGAAAAATAGATGAACATTACAATCGGACACCAGACCGGTGAAAGGTGAACCTTACACTCGGCCGCAGACGGACAGAAGATAATCAACATTGTGCTGAAATGCCAAACCAGGAGTAGATACATTCCACACCGTAAAAAATGACTGACAACGCAGTGTTACAGGTAAGTCGGTAATATTGAATTGTAATAACAAGAAACCCAATGTGAATTGTACATTACCTTTAAAACAAGTGTAAGGCAGCAACACAGAAATAACAAGTAAAGTTTGTTTTCATAATATGTACAGGAAATAACAACTAAAGTTTGATATTTGCTCCACAGCCTTGACCTTTGGTAGTCTTGTGCACGTGATACATCACCTGTCTCCATTTACATTTGATAAGTTCATGTTAACAAAACAAATTACTAGTTTAAAGAGATAAAAAAACTAACCTTGACATTTGACCTTGGATCTCACTATAACCTTTACCTTAACTGTTATTAAAATGACTTCAGTTTTTGTTTACAGCAATATTTCTTGCGTAACTCTAACCAAATAAAGAAATTGCTTGTATGTACTATACATAAAGTTATATGTCTTATTTGATATTTGACCAATAAAATTCGGAATTTATGTATAGGATATGTGGCGTTCTACTGTACATGTTTTGAATCGAAATGCCCATCATCAAACATAGTTTGGTATCAAGATTTTAAAATTTACCAAATGGATGAACAGCGCTGACTGGCATTTGCGATTATTCCAGCGTCAGCATGCCATTCTATGTAGCTTTAAAACATCCATCTATGAATGGTGTAAGAGCACATAACCATACACGTACACATATGCAACACATAACCATACACGCACATATATGCAACACATAACCATACACGTACATATATGCAACACATAACCATACACGTACATATATGCAACACATAACCATACACGTACATATATGCAACATATAACCATACACGTACATGTATGCAACACATAACCATGCACGTACATATATGCAACATATAACCATACACGTACATATATGCAACACATAACCATACACGTACATATATGCAACACAGAAATTATTATAATTACTTCTAGAGACACATGGAGGAGCTGTCCTTCTTACAAACATATATTGTATGTATTTATGTCGAATGTCTAGCGAAAGCTTACGTTAGTAATATTAGTTATTTTTACCATGTTCTATCCGAGTTCTCCTAACTGGATTAGTATAGATAAACTCGGATAAGATCATCTTACTACCTATACATAAATTCTGAATTTTATTGGCTAAACGAAGTTATTTTAATGTGAAAATAGCTTTCATTGGCAATATGGACCAGAAAATGCAAAATGTCGATTGTGTTTACACACCCCTGAATTACACTTTTAGAGACCCCAGTGTCCACATGACATATCGAAGATAAATAATCATTGGTAATGTGTGATATGTTGTGACTAATCATCATCTTCTTTTCTTTTCACAGACCAGAAAGTATGTTCTGTATTATGGGCTGTCATTGTTTGTCCTGATCGGGTTTATTGGCTTCTTCTACATTGACGCACAGAAACGATCCTGGATTTCACTGATACCAGCTGAAGTAGGCTTTAGATATATCGGGTACAGTTCGGAAAAGAATGACACCAATCTTACAACAGAAACTGTTAAATACGTCCTATATTGGAATGTTCCACTGTAGGGAGGTTTGGAAATGTTCAATGACTGTGACTACAAATGTGAGTTGACAACAGATAAATCAAAGATGGCTTCTCAGAATGCCGTGATATTCCACACTCCATACTTGGGAGGAAATGTTCCTGCTAAATCTCGCGGTCAAGTATGGGTTTATTACGGCGTCGAACCGCCACCTATAAGTCATAATTTGAAGAGATGGCAGCGGGTGTTCAATTGGACAATTAATTACCGTCGAGACTCCGACATATTGTCTCGGTATGGCTCATTCGAGAGCAAACATTTAAACTCTAGAAACAGAAATGCAACTGATATAGGTGAACTGTCCATTCGAAAAAATATGACCGCAGCCTGGTTCGTCGGTAATTGTAATACACACGGAAGGCGGGAGACATATGTGAAAGTACTGCAGAAACACATGGATGTAAGCATTTATGGCCGATGTGGAAATCTGAGGTGTAAAGAAAAGGGGCGAGCGGCTAATTGGGGTGAAAACTGCCTACATAATGTAGAGAAGGATACACGCTACTACCTGTCCTTTGAAAACTCTCTTTGTCGCGATTATATGACAGAAAGCTTTTAAAGTCTTCAAAACGCATTCGTTGGTTCCTGTTGTTGGCGAGGACAAACTATTCTATGTACCTCCCTTCGGATACTTTTATCGACAGCTCTAGATTTAAAGATGCTACAGATTTATCTAAATACTTAGTTAAGATGAAAACTGATAAAACAGCTTTCACTCGTTTATTCGAAAATCGAAATCGATACCAGACAAAGTACAACGATAACTGGGGATAAAACCATTCTGTGAAATGTAGAAGACTACATAATCCTGAAAAATATTTATGAGGATGTATCGGTCTGGGTTAGAGGAACAGGCGACACAGCGTCTTGCAGGAAGCCTACTGACCTCACGTAATCTATTTAAAACTATAATTTGAACATAAATGTTGTTTAAAACAGAAATTTTACTTACGTATGCACAGTAATGAAATTAACGTACAGCAAAGAAAACCAAACAGCTAGATACAGTCGAATTACAAATATTGCGATGGTGTACAGAGCTAGTTACTAATTAATCAAAAGTCAGAACTTATCTTTTTGTGGAAATCCTCCAAATCAAGAGGAATTCATAGATTGTTCAGAAAACAGGCTATCTGAAGAATACTCCAAGAATTGTTTCCTCACTGGGTATATATAAGTGCAAGTCCACATGGCACTATCACTAAATCACTGTAAAACTCCACACTTCACAGACTGAAGTCTCAAATTTAGCTCACCCAAGGCGTTAATACTTCAAAAGGCAGCTCAGGCTCAGTTCCATCAGGTTTATATACACTAAAGGTTTCTAGAAAGTTCCTTTCTGGATAATTCTAGACTGGCAGGTACCTAGCTTGTTTACATTTGTCTTTAGAAACATCCGGAAACATAAAAGTAATTCTAATAACCGAGCTTTCTAGATTTTGAAACTTCCGGAAGCACACAGGTCATTCTATTAACCGAGCTTTCTAGAAAAATCTGTCTACTATCTACACATATTGTGACAAATTATTAAAACAAGTTTTTTTAATGAAAACAATCAATATGATATAATGAATGTAAACACAGCACATCTGAATTTGGATTAATACACAGCATTTATATACAACAACAGTAATGCACTATATCGGCTAGAAACTGATTCCAGCCCTCAATGTGTTACGGAGAGGCCATTTTGTCCAGCTGTATCACGAGATTACATTTAACATTAAATTTTGAGTACACATTTCAACAAATTTGTATTCTTTTTCTTTATACACATTTTTACGTCCTCCAGGCATGATTTGAGATCCAATCAGTCCATCCTCGATTGCCAGTGTTTTGCAATGTCTCATTGATTGTTTCTACGGAGGTCCAAAGATGACTATTTCATGGCTCATTTCTGCTTCGAATTAATTAGTATAATTCCAATAATGTTTATGGGTTTCTTTATATCTGGTAGCTCCCGGGAACTTTCCCTAGAGGCCAACTTTTTTTTTTAATTTTAATTTTTTTTGCACATTTTTCAACATGAATGACATTACAAAAAACACACAATGGCATATACCCACACAATCACACAGATCAATACCATCCATCATCATCGTGAAACCTGGTGATGACAAAAATCATGATCATCATCATCAGCAGCATCATCTTCATCGTCATCAATATCATCACATCATCATCGTCATCAATATCATCATCATCATCATCATCATCATCATCATCATCATCATCATCATCATCAAACATCAATTATTGTCATCCTCATCATCATCATATATACACTGCCAATATTATATTTGATTATGTACACATACACCCACACATACACTCACCATAAACCACCATGCACACACACACACATTAGGAGAGAGAGAGAGAGAGAGAGAGAGAGAGAGAGAGAGAGAGAGAGGGGGGGGGGGGGGGTCTGATGGTAGAATGTTGAAGACAAGAAATGATGATATTTTTGTTGTACAATTGCAAAAACTACTTATTGAAACTACTAATATGTGCTTCTAAAATATTCGGCTAAGACAGGGGCATCAAGAGATCATGAGTAGTAAAATTTTAAAACTGAATTGTGGAATTTGAAAGACTACAGGTTAAGTAATTTCTCCCATTTTTTCCATTCGTTATCAAATTGTTGTTTTTCTTTGTCCTCTTTACCTTTTACAATATATTTCTGGATTGAATAGTTTTCTTTAATTATATTTATAAGAACATTTATATTTAGAGAGTTGTGAAAGCATCTCATCTATAAATGTACTGTTTTATGATTATGACAATTTCATTGTGAACACGATTACTGGGAAGAGAGTTCTGAAAGAGAAAGCCAAAAATAAACGAGTTTTTGTTTACCGAGAAAGGGATTAATAAAGCTTCTAATAATGTTTTAAAGCACTGAAGTAAGTTTTGAACTTCCTGGCACTCCCATAGAACATGGGTAATTGTCTCAGTTTCAGTATTACAGAAAACACAGAGAGGGGAGATAACTAGTCCTAGTTTGAAAAGTAAAGAATTGGTTACCAAGATGTAATGGGTTACTCTGTACTGAAACCATTGAAGTTTTGCACTGTTTGTCACCTGGAATGGGATTCTATGATACCTAGTCCATGATGAGTGGTCAATATCGTCTAACAGTGAGTTCCATTTTTTGGTGCCTGTTGGAATCAATTCTGATTTATTTAAAAGATTATAAAATAATTTTGAACCTTTTCTATCTCTAAAGAAAATCTGTAAGTTAATTGGTATGTATGGGTAAGTTATATCAAGTACTTTATGTGTATCGTATGAGGAGATATATTTTTTTATAGCCGAGACCAGACCATGATACTCTAGAAAATTAGTGTTTATTCTATATTTCTGAATAAATTCATCAAATGGGTAAAATGTGCCAGTTTCTGAGTTTTTCATCAAATCATTTATGATTATTATGTTACTTTTATACCATTTTTTAAGGAATAGTGTTTTACCTCAACAAGAATTTTACTATTATACCAAATTGGAACTTTAATTAAGTTTTCCTGAAAGTCGGTAATATTATATTTTAACTGCACTTTATACCAGGCATTTAGAACATCCTGCCAAAATTTATTTTTACACTTGTTTATACAAAGCTTTATATATTCAGTACCACTAACAGCAAGAAGATCTGTATCAATATATGACATTAGTATTGCTTGCCATTTCTCTGTTTTTTGGTAAAGTCTCCTAATCCAGGTGAGTTTTAATGCTTGTATGAAAGCAGTGAGGTTAACCATTTTTAATCCACCACTGGTGTGTGACAGAGGTCAATTTTCATCTCAATGCCTTTCATCTCAACCAGGGTTACATTGCTTTCCCCCTGCCTCCGAGTTTCCAGGGGTTAAAGCGATGCTGATGGGTCATGGCTAAGTACTATGCCCGGGTCCCTACATGGGCGCCAATGTAACAGAGGTCATTTTTCATCTCAATGCCTCTGCACCCGGGACCCCTGGCTTACTAGTCTGACGCTCAACCAATCGAGCTAAAGAGAAGTTCTCTCTAGCCGAGTGGTATATTGCGGCTAGTATTTTACCAGGTTTTTTTTTTTTTTTCTTTTTTTTTAGTTATTCAACTTGTGTGTTTTTGTACAATTTCTCGTGCATTATTCACCATGGATGGAGACAAAATTGGTCCAAGCATTCCAGGATCTAGGTGTTACTCCCAGGTGTGATAGCGCTGAGGACTTCAAGCAGTGGATGGCTGGATATGTGAAGCAGCTAGGTGAGGTTAAAGATGAGAAGAAGGATGTTGAGCGCCTAATCGTTACCCAGAATGCCAGATTACCACCATTCAGCGGAGATCCTACAGTGAAGGGGGAGACAACCTACGATCTTTGGCGTTATGAAGTGGAATGTTTGAGGAAGGACAAGACTATCACACCCGAGGCATTAGGACAGCTAGTTAGAAGATCCCTTAGAGGTAATGCTGGTAAGGTGGCCATGCGACTCGGCACAGATGCTTCTATTGCTGATTTACTAAGACAGTTGGAGTGTAATTATGGTGTCGTTGAGGATCAGGAGGCTCTGATGGGCAAGTTTTACAATGCCAGACAAGAAGAGACTGAGGATGTTGCAACATGGGGATGTCGTCTCGAGGACTTGCTGACGAAGGCTACTAGGATGGAGCCACTTCCTACAGTTAGACGTAACCAGATGTTACACAGCAGGATCTGGAAAGGTCTTAGACCTACTTTGAAGGATCGTTCCGCAGCAAAGTATGACCTGTGTGCTGGCTACGAAGACTTCAAAGTGGAATTGAGGAGGATAGAGTCAGAGGTGAATGCAGATAAGAGGAAGATGGCTACTGTCAAGGTGTCTTGTGGTGATATGCCTTCTCCCGATGATCAACGATATGAGAAGTTGGAGAGAATGATAAAACAACTTACCTCAGAAGTCCGGGCGTTGAAGTCCAGCAACAGTAAGCCACCGAAACCCAAGCCTCAACAGCATCAGCATCAACAGCAGCAACACAAGCAGCAACAGAGACAGAATTTCCCGCAACAAGACTTCCAGGGAGATGCTGCAGAAGGATATACAGATGAACCTGAGTGCTACCGCTGTGGACAACTTGGTCACTTACAGTATGGCTGTAGAGTGCGACTGGATCATATCAGGAGACCTAACTTTAGGAGGTCAGGACCTCGTGGACATCAGCAGCAGCATTTAAATGGACAGGGACCAATGGGGAGGGGACACCATTAGGTCAAACAGTACAGAGTCCCAACAAAGATATTTGTCAGGAAAGTGGTGGATTGATTGGATCAGCCAATGAAGTCCAGATTTATGTTGATGGAAACGAGACTCGTGCACTGTTAGACACAGGCTCCACAGTATCGACGGTTGCCAAGTGTTACTATGACTCGAAGCTGTCCCATATTCCTATACAGCCATTAACTTGTGTACTCAACATTGAGTGTGCGGATGGACAATCTCTACCATATGTAGGATTTATAGAGACAACTATAGCTGCTACAGGACTGGCAAGAAGGACATTACAGGACTGTGTTTTACTGGTTGTTCCGGATAGTCCGTACAA